TCAATATTTTCAAATGCTTGTACGGATCTTCTTTTTTCAATATTGAATGAATCAAATAGTAAATCTTCATTGTTAGAGTACTTCTAGTGTATACAAAATGGAGTTATTTTTTTATAAAGTAGCCACTGTATCTTTAGCCACTCTACTTTTGACTTAGTTGCAGATATTTTTCTATTCGTTAAATTTTGTTTCATGTTTGCCGTAGAATAAAAGTCACCTGAAGATATTTTTATTACTTTGAAAGGTGATCTTTTCCTGGCTGATTCAATAACTTTCCTCCAATCATCTGGAACAAAAATGTCTCTAAAGAACTTTTTTTTTGTTTTTCCACCAAACCGAAATCTTGGTCACAAGGCAAGAAGGAGTGCCCACTAACTAAAAACTTGTAATTGATTTCGTTAACGGTACTTAGTTCTGAAGATACAATGTAGTTGCATAAAGCTGTCATCTTGATATTTCGGTTCTGTCCGCCGCATTGATCCGAAAACAACTAATTTTTCAGTTCTGACATAGTTTTTAATGTAATGAAAAATGCATGAGGCCCTCTGGAAGCAACAGATTCATCCCATGTGTACATAAATACTTAATTTGTACCTAAATTATGTATACCTAGACAGTATGTCCAAAGTTGTCGTTTATAATAACAAATTCTCGTGGATATTACTGGTGTTGGCAGAGTTTTCATGAGGTCGAAGGCTATGGCAGTTAACTCCTCTGGATTTGCTTTTGCAATATCTCCATCTCTTTTCATGTTATCTCTAGCACTGGCTGCTTTACGGTGATGCAAATCTCGTTCAATTTCATACTGTCGTTTTTCTGTATCATCTGTTGAAAACTTTATTTTGTTTTCAAACAAATCGCACTTTTTGCACGAATCTTTTATTGGAGCATAAAAATGAAGGTTAAATTTTGTTAAAAATACTTCTCTGAAGATAAACATGAAGACAGGAGTCCCGTTTTCAAGCTCCATTTCTTTTTTATAAAGTTCATAAAGTTTTTCAAGACTTAAATCTGGCGCTAAAAACTTTCTATGTGGGTTATTACGTCGAGTGTAATGAGACTCATATGCCGGGAATTTTTCAATAAATTGCTTAACTTTATTGATCTTTTCATCCGGAGTTTTGTTTATAGCTGGCCCCTTGCCCCTTCTATCTACTGGTGCAGCTAATCCTTCATTCTTATTGGCTAATACCCGATTAATTCTGCTGTCGGAAACTTGAAGCACTTTCTTGAAAAAGTCCTTACAGACCTTTATTTTTTCACCACCTTCATTATGTAAAAAATAAATACGAGCTTTTTCACGTCTAGAAGCTTCGGCCCTTTCGGTATACGTCTGAGTTTATTAACAACTTCAACAAAAGCAAACATATAGACAGATTTTAGATCAAATGTTTCAATGGCATAAAACAACGCAAAAATTGCTTGTTGTCGTTGTGGATGAATTTTTTTCCAACAATTTATTTTTGCAACAATTCCATATTTCTTGAAAAGTTTTGGCCGGAACAGCTCTTTTACGTCTATTTATATATTCTTCGCCAGCATTTCGTTTCCTTTTTGCCACATTGCGTTTCCATGTATATTCACTTCTTACTCGTTTTTTACTTATACCTTCTAATTCAGCTTCACTGTCAGACCTTGTCCAGTCATTTTGTTGTTCAAGCATGCCATTTCCCGATTCAGATGGTACGTACTCCGATCCAGAATCTTGAAAAGGCTCTTCGTCGTTAGATTCAAAACCTAAAAATGAACAATAATTTTTAGAAACTACTAAAATGTAAAACACTGCTGCCCCCCTTTAATTTCACAGTATTATATCTTCAAATTACCTACTAAATGACATCCCTCCTCAAAATACATTTTAAATCTAACCTAACATACCTAACCTCAAAAGTACCTTCCGATAAGTTATAGCGAATGTGATATCAATGAATACAAAACATGGATACCTACTTACCATCAATTACGAAAATTGACCCAGCCATATCCACTCCAAAGTTATTTTCTTAACCATAAACTATTAAAAAACAGTATATTTTCGAATTTCTGCTCCCACAGGTGGGCTATATCAAGCTAGCGGGCACTCTGTGGCGGCACCATACAAGACCTGGTGGGTTTTTTGTAGCTTTTTTGTTACGCTATTTGCGAATTTGTAGCTTTGCCCAGGTCCGAAAAAACAGCGAATCTGCTAGCTTGAATTTCCATAAATTCCATAGTAGCGGCACAGATTTTGTGGCCACTGTTTCGCTCATATACTCAAATAATAACGTAGGTATTTATATAATTTTATGAAAACACATTGTTTTAATGGAAACCTTTTGAATTAAGAAATGTCCCAGTAGATAAGAAATATGGATCATTTTGTTTTCGTAGAAGCAACAACAGTAAACAATCAAATACTATTCCCAAAAAATACTTCGATTACAATTTTCACAGTCTTTGTACTCGTGCAGAGAACCCTAAGTCTGACAGAAGGGTGGTGTACATGGAAAAAGATTGATAATAATAATAATAATAATAATAATAATAATAATAATACTCTCCCTAATTCACCCCCTTACGAGTGAATTTCAACCCCTGAAGTCGACTGAACGACTTGTGTAGGGGAAGGGACGGCTATTATTATTTGCGGTGGCGCTCCGGGGCGACTTAAAGATGATTGATGGTGCTATTTGACTTACAGGTGAGGAAACCCCGGAAAACCTCACCCACCATCATCGAGACGGTAATGCATGACGATTTTTAATCTGCATGTCATATCAACAGAAATTGAATTTCTATTAATACGGCACACATCAAATCCTAAACCGAACCATGCAATTTAATTAAAAATCCACATGGTCCGGTCTGGGATTCGAAGCCCAGCAGTCTCAGACTCATAAACTTGCCTATAAATTAATATAAGCGTGTTAGACCGCTACACTACCGACCCGATGAACACTGTTAAAGTATAATTTACTCGAAAAACGAAATTAGAAGTGTTTTGGAAAACATGGAAATTACAACCGAAAATAGTAGACCCATTCTTATCTAAATAAACCAGAAAAGTACCCTCAGTCAAGACTGGAGTAAGATGATTTTAGGCCAAAGAAGCCAGATTCCTCTTTTGTATTAAACATTACGTAATTAAAAAAATATATTTAAATATAAATATAATGATATAAAAAAATGCTTGAAACCGTTTCTTGGAAGGGGAAACTAAAATACCATAAAAAAGGACTCACAAATTTATAGTTCAACAAAAACTTCATTAAATTTTCCTTTTAAGACAAAGTTTCACAATTATTGATTTACCCTGTACAATTATTATTGGATAGCATTTGCTATAGGCGATTCAATGATGTATCACAAGTAGAGGTTTATTTAAACTTTTTTAGTTGGGGTAGGTGGGGCCTAAGGGGTTGATTGGGGTGTGTTCCCTTTTACGTCATTTTAGTTCTCCCTTTTCTAGCCTAAAAACGCTTTTAAGCAATTTTTCTACTCCCACATGGATATTAGTTTATGTACGCACAGTATACAAAACGAAAAAGTATGCTATTGCCTTCAACTGAACGAATATAGTTCATACCCATTCTAGGTAATGAGAACACTCAAAAAAATTAAATTCACCAATCACAGTTCATATTTTGATCAACCAACTGCTATAATTTATAAAATTTTAAATAAGTGAAAATTCTGTCAAACTAATTGTCAGTATATTTTTTAGTTATTGAGATTAAACATTCATTAAAATGAATTATTCTTGTGTAGAATCGATAAATAATAGAATTTATATTTTTATTTCGTCTACAATTATAAATAATTTGTTAATTTAAATAAAACTATATGAAGTCAATTTAATTAAGAGTATTAAAGCAAACAAAATAAACGCGTAGATGGTCCTGTGGTCAGAGTTCTTGCCTTCCATACGGAAGGCTTGAGTTCAAATCTCAGATGGAGAAAAATTAAATTAAATTTTTTTTCTTTTATAAATTATTAAAAGTCAAATTATTTTTAAATTTATTATTTTATCTTAATAAACTAAAATAATTTTCAATATTTGTTGATTTTCGTTAGTGGGTCGTAAAAAAAATATACACTGTACAACTCGAGTAGATTGTCCATATCCACTCTTGTTGCACAAACTACTGTTTTGATATCATCTTTCGTTTGTGAGCTGCAGCCCATTGTACATTTTTAAATTGTCACACCGTATATACGAGCCCAGAACCATATCATTTGGCCCATTCAATGTTTTTTTTTTTTTTACTACCCATTAACCTCGTGTTCTGTGTAGGCTTTGTTACTGTTTCCCAGCGCCACTTTGGGAACAGCACTGTTAATTAGAACCCAACAGTGAATGGTCGAGTGGGGAATCCTACCAAGGCATCAGAATTAATTTTAAATAATTAAATTAAATGAAAAAATCCCGGCCAACGGTGGGATTCGATCCTGAGACCTTCCGATATCAAAGTCATGACTCTAACCACTGAGCCAACCCACCCCACCATTTAATGTTATATTTTTAATTTTATTTTACACAATTGTGCATATCTCTAATTTTCTAATATTAATTTTAATAAAAAATGTTGATAAACATGTCTCAAATTATAATAAAAATAGTTCGATTTAATAGATTTTTATTCTGTATTTACCAATGTTGTCTAAAAGTAAAATAAAAAATATAATATTGAATGGGCCAAATGATATGATTCTGGGCCTCGTGCATATGCATGCACATACGTCCAGACGATATATTTTTTGCATTTTTCGACAAGTGGGTCAAAACAAAATTCTCGTTGGCACAAATCTAATAATGAAGCCCCCTAGGTAGGGGACTCAGTAGATCCGGAGATAATTTTACTGTTAAACTATCTGTGATTTATTTACAACAGTAGTGATAAAATATGTCATGAAAATCGAATGAAAATAAAATTTCCAGAAGTTATTTAAATTTTCTAAATTATTATATTTCTTAATGGATATATTAATAATTAATATTTTGAATAAAATATAAATAATACCTGGGCCACAACGATGGTCACAAGAAAAATGATAAGAGTCTTCATTTTGAAATGAACTTTACAATAAATGTCCTTTTCCAATTTAACGATATTTTATATTTTAATTTAAATTATATTATTTTATCTTATCTTATCGTTTTCATGTATTCTTTTTTGGTTTAAAAAATATACATCAATCATTTCAGGTATATGCAGTAAAGTAATCCTATGCGATTATCTTCTGTAATATCAAAGCAATTTTGTATACTTGTCAATTTTTGGATTCAAATATTTTTTAAGCTGCCTACGATAATCTTCAAATTGTAATATCTTCCTTTCACTTTTAGATTGGTGTAATCTATTTTATGATGGATGTAAAGATTATTGAAATATTAAATTAATAATTATGAAATAAATAACTCAAATCAGTATCGCATATTTTTTTAGCCAGCTTCGGCTCAAGAGCGTTAAGCCTAAAATAATGAATGAAATATGCAAGTCCGAAAAGATTAGTCATAAATTACGCCACATATTCTGTGCTCAAGAACAGATCGATTGAATATTACTTATATGTGTACAAGAGTGCACACAATACTTTCATTTTATCAATCATGGTAATGTAGGTACCGATGATAGTGTAAAATAAAAATAAAAACAAGAATTGTTCAGTTTGACATTTTACTACTCTTCCAAAAATACATTATTACAGTTAAAACTTAATCAATAACGCCAATTTGGTTTTGTTTGTTTTTCCCTGTTTTTAACAACATTTTTTAAAAAATATACATCTTTCTTTTCGTCTCCTTCTCCTGCTTTTTTGTCACTTTTTGTTTTTTCTGTGAATTCGCTCAAAGTATTTTGGATATGGAAACTATTCAAGTTTCTGTTTCTCTTTTGTTCATTTTGGAGATTAGTTGTTGATGTACTTGCATCTTTATCCAAATTGTCGGAATTAAACATCGATTCTTTGTCTGCAACAACCAATGTGGGTTTATTATAGGTTAAATTATGACTCAAAAAAAAAAATAGAAGTGAAGTAGTGACATAATCGACTAGTAGGTAATTATTTGTCTTGTTACTAACTAAAACTGCATGTATGAAAATTTCAAAATTGTGGTTAGACACATCAACATCGTCACTGATTAAAATTTTCTCAGAATATCGTTTGATATTCTGTTATGTCTGGTGGTATTTATACAATTTTTTTACAAAACTTACATTTTAGTCTTTAGGAAGGAGAGTATTTTTCAAATATACCACTGGAAACCCCATAAATTACTGTTTTTTTTTTTTAAAAAATTACATATTAAAGGCTTATGAGGATCATTAAATGATTATTTGTGTAAACGTATTCATTAGAATTTAGAATTATATCTGTCATGATCTGTCAACACAGATTAGTACGGTGTTGCCAAGTGTCCAACTAAAATCAATGAAAAAGAAATATAAAAAAATACCTTATTTTCGACATAACATTTCGAAAATCAGTTCTAATAATTTATTACCGGTCATACTCGGTGATTTATTTATCCATTTTGATTGAATTGTTGTAGTACATAATTTTTAAATATTAATATTACGTCATCTATAATGTAATAAACAATGTACTTTTCGAAAACTTTGAAACATAATTACTTTGTGTTATCCAAAAGTTTTTAAAACTTTTTAGAATCGAGTGAATTTATTTGTTTGATAAATGACGCTAGCCAGCCAAGTTAAAAAGTACTATCAACAAGGGGATAGTTGAATTAGTTCAATTTGTGCTGGGTTAACTGTGAAGTCACTCGGTGGATACTTTTAAGGCATTTCTTTATGAGCTTACCACGACATAATTGGTTACAGTATTGTCGTTACTGTGGTGACACATAACCTATTATTTAATGTCATATGTCAAATTTAATTTAAGTTAAGGAATTTGAATTTAAGAAATTTTAGGATGTTTTGATTTTGTTATTTTTTATTATGGTATGTTCTAGTAAGCTTATAAAGAAATACCTCGTTAAATGTAACATATGACGTCACCAGCGTAACCTTATAGAGAAATGGTCTTGTAATATAAGTATGTTCTGGTAAGCTTATAAAGAAATGCCTTTTTAGTTATACCATTTAAAACATACATCGAAATACTAATTTTTTTAAATTACGTTTAATTTTTTTTTTAAATAGAAAAGTAGTAGGTAAAAAATTTAAATATAATGGCCTTGTAATCTAAATACTTTTTTTAAAGAAATATTGAGAAATTTGAAATGTTAAGGAATAATTCGAAATTTATATACAGAGTGTTCAAAATGTAACTTAGCATACTAATATGTAGTTTCCTGATAGGTTTAAAAAACGACTCACTCGTCCCACCCATTTCCTAACTACTACAGAAGCAAGCGAGCACGCCCAGCCGACGTTTCGAAATTTGCGCGAATTTCGAAACGTCGGCCGGGCGCGCTCTTTTTCCATTTACACCAAAAGAGCACACTACGCTCGTCCCACTCACCTATCCACTACAGAAGACAAAGTGGTATTCTATACTGTTTTTAAACTAGGAGTAGCGAATTGAAAAGACGCATTTACACAGGGAAAAGTAACTAGATTCCTAAGAGCATTTTCAGAAATATATTCATGTTCAAAATTTATGTAATATTTGTTATTATCGGCCCTAGTCGGCGAATGGCCAATGAGGGGTTAAGGAACAAATAAATGTCATAGGAGTCGATGTTTGTATTGGTTCAAGACAATGGTCGTAAATTTCACATAGTTGTGATCCGAAAAGTGTGTATAAAACGAACTATCACTGTCAAATGAAATTTAATATAGTCGTTGATTTATTGACGTTATCTTGCTTTTGAGGATTTTAATTTTTTTAAATGGATATTAAATATTTATGAAAAGAATATCAAGATACAGGTTAGTATAAAACATAAAAATATGATCGTTTTACATTTTCAATTATACATTTGTTATAGGTATAAATTTAAAAGGTAATCAGTGAATGGCAACTGGATTACACAGTGACTGGAATTTCTTCTATGAGTAATATGGACATTGTAGTTTATTTAGTGTTAACCCATAGTTAATACGCTAAAGGGCAAAAAAGTTTACAGGCATATGAGTCAGGATTTGTTTTGAAAACTGGAACACTACATCACTACATTATATCATTACTAAAACTTAACATAATAATAATAATGTAGGTACTTTTAATTTAAGTTGTCATTTTTACCTATATTTTTTTTTAATTTAAAGTTACTATACATACCTATGTATTAATGTTAGTAGATATTTTTAAAATATTTGTTGTGGAAGTAATGTTAGCTCATTATGCTAAATTAAGTTTATCCCTAATGTAGTAGATGGTGTTTTAAATGTGAAAACAATTTTGTAAATGGTTTTATTATTTTCTAGTACATAAAATTTACTTGAATATTTAGTTACTTTTTAATCATTTTGGTAAGAAATTTATCAATTTTTAGTTTAAAAAAATCAGTAATAAAGTTGTTATTTTTTTCTGGAATACATCGGAATTCACCTCTTCATGGTAATCTTCTGTCTTTTTGCCTTTAAAACCAATGTATTTTCTACAAAACCCTCTTCAGAATCGGCGTGTAAAATAATAAGTCGTCTCCCCTTTCTTCAGGAATTGCTATCCTTTAATAGTACTCGATAAAGAAGGATCCATAATCGTAAAAAGTCAATACAAGTGCTTACTGAAAAGAACTATTATTTACGAAATAAAGTAAAAAACTAAGAAGTAATAATGATGAGATATTAAAATATAAAATTTCACAACTGTCAACAATAGCTGATGTGAATGCTAAAAAGTGATGTGTGAAACTGACTGCAAACTAACCAATCAGACGTAAACAGAATTGCCAACTTAAATTCAAATCGCTCCTCCTAGTTTAAAAACAGAGTATAATAACACATTCCATGCGCATGCCGGCCCGTGAATATTCAACAAGAAGACGAAGCAACGATTTCTTGTAGGGTGGCAGCTTCGCTGTCACCAGAAAATACCAACCCATACCTGGCTACGCCGACCGGCATGGACTTCAATGGCCTGGACACAGCTCAAATTGAAATGAAAAGTCATTATATAATCGTATTATCATTTGCGCATGCGTAAGCACTTCCAGTCGACGTTTCACCGCGCGAATTTCGAAATGTTGGCCGGGCGCACTTGCTTTGCTCGCTTTCTTCTGTAATGGTTAGGAAGTGGATGGGAAGAGCCTTCCGTGCTCTTAAGTTGTAGGTGTAAAAATGGCGCGCCCGGCCGATGTTTCGAAATTCGTGCGAATTTCGAAACGTTTCCTTCGCTCACTTGCTCCTTTAGTGGTTAGCAGGTGGGGGTGGGTGCTACCAGCGAACCGTGTTGTTACGGTGTAGGTGTAAAAGGGCATTTGCGAATTTCGAAACATCAACCAAACACGATCGCTTCTAAGATAGTTAGGACGTAGGACGACGAGCGTGCTTTTATGGCGTAGGTGTGTCAAGGAACTTTTTCATTTTTTTGAATTCCGATAGGTTTACAAAAAGTGTTTTGGATAAAAAATGTATAAAATAAATCAAAGTATAGATAAGGCAAAACTGTGGGCCTGTTGTCATTGACGGAGTCGATGATACATATATAGTTATATAGATTGCTCAAAAAGTGTTGTTTGCGAGCGGCCATATTGCCTGGCAAGTCTCCACTAATTTGAATCGATTTAGGAAAAATGTGTTTTAAAACCAATTTCCAACCTTAGAATATATTAAAAATATAATTTCATACATTTTTACTTCAAGGCATGAGCGCTTATGTTTATTTTGAAAAACATGGAAGATCATTCTATATAACTCTATAGCATTGACCCTTTCAAATCACCAGGCCTACAGTGCTGCCATATTATTATAACCTGTCAGTGGCCTGTCATTTTAAACGGGCAGCCATTTTGTTTGGAATGCCTAATATAAAGTGATAATAAAATTATGTTTAAAAGTTTTCGAAAAGTACTTGTTTATTACTTTATAGATGATGTAATATTAATATTTAATTATTATGTACCACAACAATTCAATCAAAATGGTTAAATAAATCGTCAGATGTGACTGAAAATAAATTAAAGAAGTGCTTTTTA